TCTTCTGCACCTAGACCAGGCATCTTGACCTTGGTGTACACAGAATTGGTCTGTGCTCCAGATCAGGAATACAACCACTGTTTTTCCTCCCCAGTGCGCCAGTTTGCAGACAGCCATTGCTGATGCCGAGCAGCGTGGGGAGATGGCCATCAAGGATGCCAAAGCCAAACTGGCTGAGCTGGAGACAGCCCTGCAGAAAGCCAAGACAGACCTGGCCCGGCAGCCCCGCGAGTACCAGGAGCTGATGAACGTCAAGCTGGCACTGGACATCGAGATTGCGACCTACAGGAAGCTGCTGGAGGGAGAGGAGTGCAGGTGGGTGCAAATTTACATCCCAATCTCCAGAGTTGCAATGGAGTTGGAGACCTTTGTCAGGTCTAGAAGAGATCCCTGGGCTTCCCACGTTCATAGCATGCCAGAATCACTTGTTTGGGAAAGACCTTTAAGATCATCAAGTCCAACCATAACCTGGACACCACTAAACCAAGTCTCTCAGCACCTCATCTCCTTGGCTTTTAAACCCCTCCAGGGATGGGGACTCCACCACTGCCATGGGCAGCCCCTTCCAGTCCCTGATAACCCTTTCCATGAAGATATTTTTCCCCAATATCCAAACGAACCCTCCCCTGGTACAACTTGAGGCCATTTCCTCTTCTCCCATTGCTTGTTCCTGGGGAGAAGACCCCTAACCCCATCACACTACAACAACTACTCAGGTAGCTGTAGAGCAAGGACTTGAAGTTCAGAAAACTTGAATCGTATTTAGAGGCAAACAATTGCCCATAAAGATGAGCTGTTTGGGAAGATCATAGCCTCTTGTGCAAACTTTCCAACATCCACCCAAAATATTCCAAGGAAATTCTCCTACCTTTTCAATTCTCCTGTCTGCCTTGAATTCTTACCATCTCATTTTGCTCCCTAACAGGCTCTCTGGAGAAGGTGCTGGCGCAGTGAATATCTGTAAGTAACTTTTAAAAATAGTTTTGAGACTTTTACATTTGTGGATGCCTCTAAAGAGGGGGTTTTCCTCTTGCAGCCGTGACCAGAACCACTGTAGGATCAGGATATGGAGGTGGAAACTGCCTCAGCTTTGGAGGCAGCAGCGGTGTTGGAGGTGGGGTCTGTGCTGGAGGAATGGGCTTCAGCTCTGGAAGCGGCCAAGGCACAGCCGGGTCGTGCATGGTTGGTGGAAGCGGTTCCAGTGTGAAGTACATCTCCACCACCTCTTCAACCAAGAGATGCTACTGAAGTCAGACATCAGCACTTAGCTAGCGTGTGCCAAGTTTCCTCTTATATTGTGTGCAATCCTCACCCTGTTACTTGCAAAAGATTTGGAAGTCAGAGCTGTCCTTATTTATATAAATACACCATACTCCAGTTTGTTCTTTGACTCTCTGAAATCCTCATTTCCAAGTCTTTGTCTAATAAAAGGCATGTGGAATTAATTCTGTTGCGTTCTCCTCTTAATTCCTATTACTTTATAGGATGCTGGGGAAAAGCATGGTTGATAGTGGCATCCTGGGCTGTATTAAAAGCAGTGGAGCCAGCAGGCTGAGGGAGGGGATTCTGCTCCTCTACTTAGCTCTCATTAGGCCCTACCTGCAGTGCTGTGTCCAGCTCTGGAGTCCTCATCAAAAGAAGGACATGGAGCTCTTGGAGCAAGTCCAGACAAGGGCCACAGAGATGCTCAGGGGCTGGAGCTCCTCTGCTCTGGGCACAGCTGAGAGAGTTGGGGGTGTTCAGCCTGGAGAAGGGAAAGCTGCAGGGGTACCTTATAGCGACCTTCCAGGACCTGAAGGGGCTACAGGAAAGCTGGGGAGGGACTTTTTACAAGGGCATTCCCATTTGTGTGATCACGATTTCTTAGCATTAGTGTTCATAGGATGGGAAAATACCTACTCTTCCCAGCAGGCACTAGAGACAATGTCCTTCTATCTTAATATCTACATTACAGCGTCTCAGCATTTCCATGCCACCTTGATTGTGCCCAAGCCCCTGTAATCTGTCATGCAGGGATATAAATCTAGTTATTCCCAAGAAAGCAAGTATTTTGGCTCATGCTGTTTTGCACATGCTTTAGCTGCAGAGGCTAATAAAATGTTGTCACTGCCATTACCGTAATTAGAAATGGAAAAGACCCATTAAACCCCCAAACTTACCCTCTTTGGGAAGAATAATGTCCCCAGACAGGCTCCGTTTGTAGCTAACGGAAAGGTGCAGGTGCCCCCAAACAACCGTCTTTACTAGAAGTACCTCTGTGCAGATGAAGAGTTGCCCACAAAGCTGAGAAGTGCAGTCCAAGACACCTAACTTCTTGTCCAGATCAGGACAGGTCGCTCCTACCCCAAGACAGATGGCAATCGAGGAGCAAAATCAGGTTTTTCTTCAGCAAAGTGCATCAAACTGGCATTTCCAACATCTCTAGATTCCCTCTTGTGGCAACTTCAGTCTCATCAGCTTTAAACTCAATGGGCACTAACATCACGAAACAAGTTAAAAGCAAGCCCGAAAAGAACTTTCGGATGTAATTTTTTTTTTTCCCACCAGTAATCCCCACTTTGACAAATGCAGGTTAGAAAATCTGGTTGGTTTTATGGGCCTGAAGGTTGCCAGCCCATTGCATTAGCGAGGTGATTAACGGGTTGGGAGAGGTGGCCATGTGCCAGCATACCAAACCCATTAGCTCAGTCAACAGAGTTACGGTCCTCTGCGGACAAGCCCAGCTCCTAACAAGGATAAAAGGCAGAGGGGACGCCTGATCCAAACTCTCAAAGACTTCTCTGCTCCTCTGCCACCTCACCTCTTTGTCCTTTGCTCTCGCCATCAGCGAACGATCGCGCAGAAGTCAGTCGGTCAGGAGGACTCACGATGAGTTTCAGTGCCTCTTCTGTCACTATGCCCATGAACAGAAGCAGCTTCAGCTCCGTGTCCATGTCCCGCAGCAGCGGTGGAGGCGGGGGACGGCTCAGCGGCGGTTTTGGCAGCAGGAGCCTTCACAATCTAGGGGCAAACAAGAGGATTTCCGTCAGCGGAGGGTATTGCTCCGCTAGACCGGGATACATCAATAGGGCAGCTCACGGTGGGTTTGCATACAGAGGCGGTGGAGCTGGGTTTGGGTTTGGAGGAGGATGTGGTCCTGGAGGTATCCAAGAGGTCATGGTCAACCAACACCTCTTGGTACCTCTTAACCTGGAGATTGACCCCAACATGCAGAGAGTGCGGCTGGAGGAGAAGGACCAGATCAAATCCCTCAACAACAAATTTGCCTCCTTCATCGACAAGGTAAGACACGTTCACCCAGCCTGGCATGTTTGCCATTGCCTGTGGAGTAGGATTAGGATTGCTCTCAACATCATAAATTTACTTCTAAATCCTTAATGCACAGAGTTAAGGATTTCCTTTAGTTTGTTACTGCTGTAAATATAGCTTCGCTTCATCAGAGTGGTATAGAAGGTCTGGATATGGTGCAAATTATTTTTCCAGGGTTTTTTTGCAGTTGAATACTGCTCCTGTCCTCCAGGTCTTCCTGTCAATGAGCTTTCAATGACATCCCCATCTAAAGTCCATTTTAAATTACATAAAACCCCAAAAAACTCCTCACATTAAAGCCCCCATCTCATGAGGCGGGTTTTAAGTTGATGATCTCAAAGGCTTTAAATTATCCTGATGGGTTTCAGGTGCGGTTCCTGGAGCAACAAAATAAAGTACTGGAGACCAAATGGGGCCTCCTGAAAGACCAAAAAATCGTGAAAAATAACCTTGAACCCATGTTTGAGGCGTACATCAGCAACATGAGGAGGCAACTGGAGGCTCTGGGAGGGGACAGGATGCGGCTCAGCTCGGAGCTGAAAGCCATGCAGGACGTCGTCGAAGACTTCAAGATCAGGTAAGCAATGCACACAGACAAACCTGTCCCATTTTCCCTCACTTTGCCTTCTTTTTGGATGAGTTAAAAGACCCCAAAACAGGTGAACTTTTTTAAAGGCTCAGATGCTCAGACATCCCCGGCTGTTTGGATTCTCAAAGCCGTAGTTTGTCCAGAACCTTAAGCTTTCCAAATGGTTTCAGCTCTCGTGTAAGCATTTTAATATGGACCAGGATGAAATCTGAACACGCTGAATGCTCACACTTCTTACTGATACGGATTCCTTTCCAGGAGAGGCAAAACTGTCTAAAAAGAAAGATTAATTTTAAAAGCGTGCTTAAGTGTTTTCCTTTTTAATTATATAATGTCCCTTAATATCGATGTATCGAATAGTTTTTGCACTTCTGAAAGTCAGGATTTAGCTTCTACCCCACGGAAAGTCACCAGAATATTGGGTGAGCGCTTCAGCTCAGCTCATTCACTCTTTAGGCTGTCAGGAGGAGGTGTTTTCGCTCTCATCCACTCCGCACTCTGAAAAAAACATCTAGCAAGTCTTAGCGTCTGCTACCATGCCCACAAGGGATGCACTGCTTAATGGATGTGAATAAGTAAGGAGCTTAAATTGTCAATCTGGAACCAGAAAAACAAGAGATGGGCGCTAGACGCAGGCTGCAATTCAGAACAAGGACGTGTGCATTCTGCCAAAAACCCTTTCTCAGCGGATTGTGTGTTGGACTCTTTCTGCCACCTCTACCAACAGTGCCTCTAGCCCAAAAGTAGCACTGGGATAGAAAGGGCTGCCTTGGGGGAGAGAAATCACCATCCATGGGTGCTTTGAGACTCTCTTTTATGGTTCTCTGTGCCTTCAGAAAAGCAATGTTTAACAGAGAAAAAACTTGTCCTGTATCAGTTTGGCCATTGAAGACCTCAGGGTCTGCTACAGATCAGCCATTTAGATTTCTTTAATTCATTTTAGGGTGGGACAAATGACATTCTGGAGATAAATATTTTTCTCCATCAGAAGAAACCCCAAAGAACAGAGCTTAACTATGATAGCCAAGTTGTCGGTAGCTGCATTGGGACGAATCCCAGCCGTAAGCACAATATTGCTATTGATTAATGGGGTCAGAGAGTTTCCTCCTCCTGTTCTCCTCACAGGCCCATGGTGAAAGCAATATTTTAAATTTCGAAAAGCAATGTCTAACGTTAGCACGGTCTGCAGCAGCAAAGCAGCAGCTGAGGTTGCTCAGCCGAGAAAAGACCCATGGGTGCACCATGATTTCAGCCAAGAAATCCTCTGACAAGCAAAGGTCGCATCATAGAAGAGCTTCAGATTTTAATATCCTGTCTCATCTGACGTAAAGTGGTGAACATTGCTCCAGATCAGGGAATCTTTGGGCAAAAGCTCAATTATTTCATATACATTGCTGGGCAGGGAACATCACCTTGCATTGGTGCAAAAATGCTTACACCCTCCAAGAGGACACCACAGCTTCTGTCCTTGTTCCTTAGAAATTTGTTCTTCCTACCTTTATTTATTTTAAACTTTGTGAACCCCAATGTTTTCCTCCTAATGCTTTGCTCTTCTGAGTCAAATACTAATCCATATGGCAACTGCAATTAGAAATTAATTAATACGCCAGATTACTGTTCCTCTTCTATGTGGCTAAGAGCTTAGAGACCCACAAATCTATAGACAGGCTGGGACTTTCTTTAATGGAAATGATTTTAAGGGCTGGATATTCCCAATGTGAAGAAACCTTCCCCCATGAAAGGGTCATGAAAAGCTAACAATTTATTAGCTGCACGGACTCCTTCCTTTGAACTCCTGGCTTTCATCTCCCCCATTTAATGGTTTCATTTGAGCTGGGCACTGGGCCATGTCTCTGGCTGGTTTTTACCCTTTCCACTACGCACTGCGGCTGCTCCAGACCTTGGCTTCCCTTGCCCAGGTCACGGTCATCCTCCCTCCTCCCTGGCCATCCCCAGGTGTCCCAAAGCCACCGCAGGAGCTGGCGTCAGAGATCCCGGCTCTTCTGACTAACCCAGGTGTGGTTACGGCTCCACCCAGCCCTCCCGGCCTGAGAAAACTGAGTGAGCACAAGGCTCCCATTCACAGCAAAAACTCCTGAGAGGATAAAGCGTGCCTTCAACGGAGGCCTGCAGCTTCTCTAGATGGTCTCCTCCCACCACTTAGCCCAAGGGTGCTGTCTTTCTATCATAATCAGTGAGATATTTGTTAATTGCATGTATAACCCATGCACTGACATAGCAAGGACAGATGGGCATCATTAGGGTGCTATTTTTGTTGTTTTCTCCAAAGATGGACACACTGGTGGTAAATGTTGCTAGGAAGGGACTCTTTGGGCCCCTCACTCCCAGAAGGACATTGAGGGGCTGGAGCGTGGGCAGAGAAGGGCAAGGGAGCTGGGGAGGGGTCTGGAGCAGCCGAATGCTGGGGAGAGGCTGAGGGAGCTGGGGGGTTCAACTGGAGAAGAGGAGCTGAGGGGAGACCTTATCCCCTCTGCAGCTCCTGAAAGGAGGGGGGAGCGAGGGGGGGCGGTCTCTGCTCCCAAAAAACAAGCGATGAGACGAGAGGAAATGGCCTCAAGTTGTGCCAGGGGAGGGTTAGGGTGGATTTTGGGAGGGATTTCTTCATGGGAAGGGTTCTCAGGCACTGGAAGGAGCTGCCCAGGGCAGTGGGGGAGTCACCATCCCTGGAGGGGTTTAAAGGCTGGGGAGATGCGGTGCTGAGGGACTTGGTTTAGTGGTGGTCAGGTTATGGTTGGACTTCATGATCTTAAAGGTCTTTTCCAACCAAGTGATTCTGTGATACTTCAGTCTCTCCACAAACACCCTGCAACGAATGCACGGAGGAGGGATTTCCACACGCCCAGGGTGGATGGGGTGGGTTGCAGTGTGGAATTTGTAAAGACACATTCATCTCCCCTTCCCAATAGGTATGAAGAGGAGATCAACAAGCGCACGGCTGCAGAGAATGCCTTTGTGTTGCTGAAGAAGGTGAGTCACCAACCACAAATAAAAGACACACTTTTGAAAGGCAAAAAGCATTTAAATGCAAATAATCCTTTTTATCCAGCAGTGCCAGGCTGGGCAAAGCACTCAGCAAAGGTGTAGTCATCCCTCCTTGAAGCAGAAACACCCACTTGTGCCAGTCCTTGGCCATAGCTTGTTCTTGTTTCAGTCCCCTCATTCAAAATCCAGATGAGTCCTGGTCTCCCTGGGTCATCCAGATGGAAATTCAGTGGCTTGTCAAAAATTGCTCACATCTATGGACATTGTCCCTCCTTCGTCCCAAAAAAGATAAAGGGAAGAAACCAGTTCCCACTTGCATCTGTTTAAATGCATGGAGGTCAAGAAAGTCTTCAGTTGTGCTTTGTCTCCAAATTTCGTATTATATGACAGCTGGCCTTTGTAGCTGGATGCAAATAGGCAAGGTTTGGGTCACTGCCTCTGTTGTTGCGGTTCCAGGACGCTGATGTTGCCTATGTGAGCAAAGTGGACCTGGAGACCAAGGTGGCTGCACTGACAGATGAGATCAACTTCCTGCGAGCCCTCTACGAAGCAGTAAGGATCTCCCAAATTTCCCAGTTCTGCTATTTCCCCATTTTCCTGGTACGACCAGGATCAAACCAGCCTAAAAGAGACGTTGGGAACTGCAGATCCCCTCCATTCCTACCCCTCTACCACACATCATCTCTGAGACACGCATAAGGGTGAACATTTAGGATTCAGAACACATTTGTTTGACTTACAGGAGCTGTCGCAGATGCAGTCCCAAATTTCCGACACCTCCGTGGTGCTGTCCATGGACAACAACCGCAACCTGGACCTGGACAGCATCATCGCAGAGGTCAAAGCGCAGTACGAGGACATCGCCAACCGGAGCCGGGCAGAGGCTGAGTCCTGGTACCAGAGCAAGGTGAGGATGCAAAAACTGACCAGGTGAGCTAGGAAAATTTTAGTTTAGCATTTCATAGAATCATAGCGTCCCAGGTTGGAGAGGACCACAAGAATCATCCGGTACAACCTCTCAAGGTAAAATACAGTTCAAATGGGATGAGGCAGCTCCCTGTCAAGATGACTCTTCAAACTGACCAATGGAGGGGAATTCACCACTTCCCCTGGGAGATTGTTCCAATATTCCACTTCCCAAGGGCTACTTTACACTGGAGAGGGCAAGCAGAGAGGAAAGAGGAGTAGGAGGTAAAATCAAGTTGATTTGGAACTCATTTAGAGTTTTTTTGACATGTGAAAATGCCTTTTTGACAATGAGAGACAAAGGAGCATAAGGAGCTAGAGGGAGGAAGAGAATATGCTAAAGCTCATGAGGAAGAGTGTGGATTGAGTACAGAAGGAGAGAGACCAGGGTCAATACCCACCTCACCATGCATCTGACCACGTTCTGTGTCTCATCTCCCACCCATCTCAGTACGAGGAGCTGCAGCTCACGGCTGGCCGGCACGGGGACGACCTGCACAACACCAAGATGGAGATCTCGGAGATGAACCGTGTCATCCAGCGGCTCCACTCGGAAATCGATAGTGTAAAGAAACAGGTACGGTGCACAGGGCCCCTCCAAACACGGGGGCACCTCCATCTCCACCACCTTGCTGCATCCTTGCAAGGATGCTTGGAAATGAGGGTCCAAACCCACTGAGGGGATCACCAGAAGTGTTTCTAACCCTTGCAGTGCGCCAGTTTGCAGACAGCCATCGCCGACGCCGAGCAGCGCGGGGAGATGGCCATCAAGGATGCCAGGGCCAAACTGTCCGAGCTGGAGGAGGCTCTGCAGAAAGCCAAGGCAGACCTGGCCCGACAGCTCCGCGAGGACCAGGAGCTGATGAACGTCAAACTGGCGCTGGACATCGAGATCGCGACCTACAGGAAGCTGCTGGAGGGAGAGGAGAGCAGGTGAGGACACCCCTGCAAACCCAATCATGTCCAAACCCATGGAGGTTTTCCCATTTGCAACAAGAGAGGGAATGGCCATAAAAACTCGCTGTGCAGCACAAACACACCCCAACCCTACACTCATCACTTCAGACTCTAACACCCCAGACCATTCTGCTACCCAATGTGCCAAATTGTTGCTTGAAATTATCCTAAATAACAAGTCCTTCCTTCTCTGTTCTCTCTTCTTTCCAGGCTGGCTGGAGAAGGCGTTGGCGCAGTGAATATATGTAAGTAATCCGGCTCTTAAGCAACAGATTGAGTTATTTATTGAGTTATTCCTTAAATGTCCCTGGAGCTGAGGATCAGACAATGAAAATTAGTTATACAGCTAGTAGTTACCAGCATAAAAATGGAGTATGTTTAGGGTTTTGTAGTATCTGTAGGACTGAGGAGGTCGAAGAGCCTGATACATCATTTTTTCCCGACCAGCTCTGACCTTGAAAGGTTTTGAGCATTGAGACTGCCCATAAGAGACACAGATAGCTCTGCTACAGGGTAGAGAGAAAAGCCAGAGAGTAAGATGTGTGAAAAAGTGGTAAACCATCCAAGAAAAACCAGGAATGTGTGAAAACAAAGGCTGAAATTCCTCCGTACTCTTCCAAACAAACTAACCCTCTCCCCGTGGTTTCCCATCGCAGCCGTGGTCTCATCTGGGAGCAGCTACGGAGGAGGGAACACGCTGGGGCTGGGGTCAGGCTTCAGCACCCGGCTCGGCATGGGGGGCAGCGGGGCCAGCTTGGCTGGGGGATTCAGCTCCAGTGCAGGAAGCAGCTCCAGCACCAGGTTTGTGTCGAAAAGCACCACCAAGAAGAGTTTTCGGAGCTAAGCCACGACCGCCAGCTCATGTGGAGCAGAAGAGGTTGAGCACCACCTCCTGCTGCCAGCACAAAGCCTGTTAACACCTTCCACAGAGCCACGCTTATCACTGCTGGGGAGAAACACATTCCCAGTGCTACTTATTGCCTTGGGAGAGATCCCTCTCCGAAAGCCCCCTGCATGAAGTCTCATTTAGCCAACCAGAAGCCCAGCGCTGCTTGTCAGCGAGTAATCAGCTTTCCCATTAATGGGCGCCATCGTTAGAGCCCAGCTCACAGCTTCCCAGGGATCCCCTTTGGCCCTGCACCACGGTGCAAACCCAGAGTAGAGGCAGGGCTTGGGTTTACACCAGAGCACACGAAAGCAGGATGAGTCCCTTCACCTGCCATAGAAACTACTGAGACCACGGTGTCTCTTGTGCTCCCTCCTCATCAACACCGCTCCCCACTGCTGGGCTTGCTCTCCCCAAAGGCTACAGAACCCCAAACCGAAACATTTTTCAATATAGAAGCAGTTGCTTTCTTCCCAATCCCTCTTGCATTGCTGTTATTTCACTCCAGGGCTCTCTCACTTTACCTACATCAAAAAAATGCCATTTTCCATAGGTGAAAGGGGTTGACTCGCTATAATATCTCATTCCTCACAGTACATATAATTTAAGCCAAAAGACCACATAACCTACGAGTTGCTAGACCTTGTCTCAAACCATTCTCTTTTCCACCAGCCAGAACGAACTTAAAGTAGAGACAGGGGTTAAAAATACAGGAAAAACAGAAAGGAGGAACAGCAGGCTTTGGTAACATCAGTTTTACATAACCTGGAAAAACATCTCTGTTTACTGCCTTTGTTCTTACATTTTTGTTTTGTTTGGGGTATTTTTTTCCTTTTCTCTTCTTATGGAAGGAGGAGGAAAGCAAAGAGGAAAGGGTTGGAGGATTATGTGCCCAAATGTGATCAGCTCATTTCCCCTCATTTTCTCCTGTATGAGTTTTATGAAATGTCTTCAATAAACTGCATTCAAACTTACCGTGAGCAATGTGGGTTTTCTATGGCTTTCCAAAATTCACCTAAAAAGTGTAATTTTAGAATAAGGGTTAGAAGATTTGCCATAGGCACTCGCTGTCAGTCAGAGCCTTCCCATCTCCTGGTCCCCATCTTCGTCCTGGAAAGGAGAGGAAATATTGTGTATTGGAGATAGGGGTCACAGAGCAGCCATGCCCAAAAGCTTTGGGAGGGTTTCCAAGCAGCACAACCAAACAGAGCAAGACCAGAAGCTGGGGCTAGTTTCACCTGGCCATAAACGCATTCACTGGAGCCAGTTAAAGGACAGAAATGGACACTTCTGGGTGAAACAATCCATTCCCCAGTACCACTTCCATTGCTCTGTGAGACCCAAAGCGCTCTAGGCAGTTGGCTGAAGGTGTCTGCATTGCAGGAGCACTCCAAAAAGGTGTTGTCAAGCCAGGAAAGATGAATCCCACCTAAGCAAAACTTCTGGAAAGGCCCATTCCAGACCTGGAGGAGGGATTTATGTCCATCCCCTCTTTGGGGACTGCCAGCCCAAAAAAAGGAGATGATCCTTGAGGGAGTGGAGCATCTCCCTTCTGAGGAGCGGCTGAGGGAGCTGGGGCTCTTGAGCTTGGAGCAGAGGAGACTGAGGGGTGACCTCATTCCTGGGGATCAATTTGGAAAGGGCGAGTGTCAGGAGGAAGAAGCCAGGCTCTGCTCTGGGATGTCCAGTGACAGGACAAGGGGCAATGGTCCCAAGCTGGAGCACAGGAGGTTCATGTGAACATGAGGACAAAGTTTGTGAGTGTGAGGGTCCAGAGCATGGTCCAGGCTGCCCAGAGAGGTTGTGGAGTCTCCTTGTCTGGAGACACCCAAAGCCCTGGCCGTGTTCCTGTGTGACTGCTCTGGTGATCCTGCTCTGGGGGGGTTGCACTGGGGGAGCTTTCCAGGTCCCTTCCAACTCCTGTCATGCTGGGATTCTGTGATCCCCAGTGCAATGCTGGGAGTGGAGGTTTCTGTTGGGTCAGCAGATCCAAGTCGGGCTGGCTCAGACAAGTTGGCGGTACCGAGCTCTGCTCTGTAATTAGAAACCCCAGAGAAAGTGCAAAAACGAAGCCAGTGTGACTTCTTCCATCCCAAGGAAGATGCCAACTATCACACACAGATCCTCTCCAGCATCCAGGGCCCAATCATGAAGATGCTGAGCTCTCTGAGCTCCTTTTATGTGCAGTCCCAAAAAGTGCTTAGCACATACAACTCCCACGCAGCTTTACCCCAAAACCTTGCAATGAGCTTTCAGGCTTGCATGCAGGAACTTCTCTCTGATCCTCTTCATGGAGCAGGACATGTTCTCAGAACATGGTGAATGCCAAGAAAATCACATAAAAGCAAAAGCACCTTTAGAAAAGGCTGAGATTTCCAGGGCTAAGCCCTCAGTGTTATCCCACTGGAGGCAAAAGGATTAAGAGGGTTCCCACCCATGGCACGCGGCCCTTTTGATACTGCAGCAACAACAGGACTCAAAATCACCTATTTCATTTTCTAGGAAAGACGTAGCTGCCTTTCCTGCATCTTTGCCACTCTGAACCCACCTCCTTTGCTGAAAAATAAATATATAGAGAGTCCAAAATTGCATTCATAGAGTTTTGCCAAACAATTTCAGCAGAAAGCAATGACTAAGCCCAGTTTTCCTAGGATTTCTCCATTGGGTGCAAAGGTGTGAGCTGGAAACCCTCTCACAGGCACCTTTGCTGCACCCCTTTTCTGCTTGCAGGCCCCAGCACCAAGAAATACCCTTGAACAGGTCCATTGCCAGTCCCAGGGGAATTAAAAGACCGTTCCCTTGAGGGAAACAACATTACAGAGGTCAAATGAATGAAAGAAAGGAGTAAATTATAGAATTAGGCTTACTGGCTAAAGGTTAATGTAAACCCAAACCGAATCAGCCCCAGTGTGTGGTGGTTTAGGGCTGGGGTGGCCACTGAATGCTGGACAGATGCTCTGTATTAACCCCCTCCCCTCCCCAGAAGGGAAGAGAAAAGAGAATAAGGGAGAGAGACTTCGCTGGTTGGAAAATAAAACTACCAGGCTTAATGAAACAATAATACTGATACTACAGGATAATAATGGAAATAGGGAAATAATGGAATATATACAGATCTGTACAAATAGATCTACAAAATCTTGAGGTCCCTTCCAATCCCTAACATTCTGTGATTCTGTGTAATCCTCCTCCAATGATGATGATGGCACCAGAGGCTCTGGGAGCACTGGAAAAGTCCCAGTGTGGAGCCAGCAGCAGTGGGAGCTGATGCAGGAGCACAGGGCTCAGGATCAGAGGCAGGCGAAGCAGCAGGGTCTGCTGGGCCTTGGGCCATTGCAGGGGTGGAGAGGGAAGGAAGGGTCCAAGCTGGAAGGGTCCAGACCCTGGTGATCCCTGGGCTTTCCACTGAGTGTGCCGTGTGTGGGATGCAATCCCTGGTTGGGCAGGTTTGGGTCTGCTCCTCCTGTAGGTGCAGACACAGCCCCCATGGTGAGACAGTGGCCTTGTGCTGATCACTTGTAGCAGTGCACACTGTCTGGAAAACCACGCTGCTGGGTTCAGCGAGTTCAGCCACTGAGAAGAGACTGAGCTGGGAAGTGAAATCACTGAATAGAAAATCAGTTCTGTTGAGCTCAGACCAGGACAGTGTTTGGAGCACTGGAATATTCCCAAAGTTTGACTTGGATTCTTCTTTTCCCACACGTAACACAAAACAATGCTCCTTCCAATGCCCTGCAAACATCAGAAGGTCGAGCTGCTGCTCCTTTGCATGTTCGTTATAAAAACAGGGAGGTTTGCACATGCAGGTTTTACAGGAACAGGGATTCCCTCCCATTCAAGTACAAACACAGCCTGTAACTGCACACTAGGTGTGCACCTAAAAGCATCTGAGGTCAGTATTCAGCAAAAGACTTGAGTGGGATATTACCAAAAAACCATAAACTCATAAATATCTTAAAAATGGTCTTTTGGGGGTTGGTTGTGTACCAAAGCCTGTTCTCCTGGGACACAGAAAGGTGAAAGCTCTGCTTCTCGTTGCAGAGGGTTTCTGGTTGGGAAAACCAGTATTACTAACAGTAACTAACAGTATTGATACAAAGCACACAGCTGAGACGTATATATATGTATATACACACACATATACACTCAGCTGATACAGTGTTTGCGAGCTGTGATGGTCACAATGAGCATGGGAATAGGTCTTAGAAGTAGAATGATAAGTAAGACCCTCCTGGCATGGAAGATTTAAATAAGATTTAATTAAAAGAGCCAAATCCCACCTTAAGTGAGTCAGTTTTAGCTGAGTTGTTCATCTGGGATGTTTGTATACCCAACTTCCTTCTCTGCATCTCGTGATTTTTTTCTCTTCTGCCTAAGAGGAGAAGAGGGCGGAACAATTCAATGGCGCGGTAAAGTTGGTGTCATTGAAAAGAGCAGTCCTGAGAGTTTGCAATCTCATCCCCTGCTGGCACCGAGTGGTTTGCTCTTTCATTTCGTAAACCCTCGACGCGCTTCAGGACGTGGATTGCACCTACATGAACAAAGCCGAGCTGGAAGCCAAGGTGGAGCCTCTCATCCAATAAATCCCGTATAAAGCAGCAATGGTTTTTCCTTTTCCACTCCCTTTTCCTCCACCCCAAACCTCTATGGGGTCTGTGGAGTTCCCACAACCCATCATTAAAGATCACGGAGGTTTCTGATGTTTCACCAATCAGTTGATTGCTCCGGATGTCAGAGGTGTTACTCTCGCACCGCACGGGCAAGGAATCTGTTTCAACTTGATGGTGAAGGTGGAAGCAGAGATTAAACCAGCAAATCCCTTGCTGGGTTTCCTGCTACTGTGCACATGAGTCACTCGTGTCCCCCAGTGGCAAAGGGTTTTGCCTCAAAGCTCGAGATCCGGGACCGCAGCCCCAGCATCACCCAGTAGCTTTAATTACTGACTCATCTCACCCCAG